AGGGCCCGGTTCCCTAAAAAGAAGGAAATGAATCTAGAAAGGAGAAAAGAAGGGAGGGAGAAAAGAATGAACGATAGAAGGAAGCGAGGGAAACTTCCAATGTTGGAGCCTCACATTGATTTCCTTGGGTTGAACACAAATGTGGCTGAAGGAACAGAAGGCAGGAGGCAGGCAGGAAGGAGTGGTTCTTTCCTATATTAAAGGGCATCACAAGATCCAGATAATGGGCTTCCCGGAATTACCAGGATGTGCTGAATGCTGGGGGACACAAAGATGACTGGGCCCCCTCCCATCCCACAAAGGGGCCCAGGGTCTGTATAAAGGACGGAGGATTAATTTTGGTAAATAAAAAACCCCCAAAACTCTGAACACCAGTCCTGGAAGTTTGGGCTAAACTCCCACCAACGTGGCTTCTGGTAATCGAAAGCCAAAAATCAAAAAGACTTGATAGGTAGAAAGCTGGCACTTTCTTCCTGGCTGAAAAACCCTTTTTTGAAAGCGCACTGGCACCCACCCACTTAAGAGTGCTCATAAGCCCTTGGTTTAACTGAGGTAACTTGTGGAAAAGTGTGATTGTGTGTGCCCTCAGGGTTGAGTTACTGAGGTGCCCTTTAAAGTTATTTCCTTAAAACATTCACTGCCACCATAAAATTATTGAATTTTATTATTGAGATTAACTTCTCAATTCAGCAGCAGGTCAGTTGCACAACTTCGGCGCTTTCCAGTAGCTTCTTCCTGCACAGTATTTTCAGTCAACTGCTCCCACAGACTGCAGTCATTCTGGAACTCTTTTACAGACACTTGAGCACATGCCCGGTTATTGGCAGTTTTACCATTGTCTTTCCCCCAGTCTAGATGATATTACAGACTCACCACAGCATGCAGCCATATCTTGTCCTAGTAGACAGGTTCTTTAATTACATATAGCCTTCGACAAAACAACATCACAACACAAGGAGAGATATACACTGTACACGACTTCCTTATATACAATTCTATACAATTACACATAGCAATCTCTGATTGGTTCCCAACTCATTAACCTAACTCAAACCCAGGACTGCATCATTCACAATCACAATATACAGTTCATGCATGACTCAGCATTTCCAATAGAAGCCTATGAGCAGTGCATGACTCAGCTATATTACATTACAATACATTGTAAAACCTGACAATTAGATTAGCCCCAAATCTCCAAATCTTCCGTTAGCATAGGTATTTCCACAGGCCTTTGCCCTAGAGTAATGTACTATGGTCATATCATTACATCAACCATTGTTATTCGGCACTTGAATTCATGTTTGAAGAAGCCCAATTGCCCACAGGTAGAAAGAACTATGTTTTAGAATTCTTAAAATTTTAAATTTTATCGATTGACATTGTCCATTGTTTGTATTCAGTCAAACTGTGTATTGTTTTGATGATATAACAACAACTTTATTTGTATACCGCTCTATCTTCCTGAGGGGACTCAGGGCGGTTTCCAACAGGCAAAACATTCGATTGCCAACACAAAATCACACAGAACCACTATAAAACATAAACACAATACTACTAAAACAGTAATCTATATTTAAAGTCAGTTCCAATACTATTCCATTGGGCAAAAGATGAACTACCAATGGCCAGAATTACAGAATGGGCCAAGACACCGATGAGAGGGCTAGATAGGGATTCTATTTTATGTGTGGCACCTTGAGTACTTGGTTAACCTCCCCGAGTCCCTTCAAGGAGATGGTGGTAGGGTACAAAACAAATTATTATTATTATTACTATTATTATTATTACTATTATTATTATATCTATACAACAGTCATTATATGTATGTATGTGGGAGGTAATGTAATTTTGTGGCTGAATAATATCTATATCTATATACTATTACATTATATATTTTATTGTAAATTTATGTGTGTGTGGTTTAACCTCTGGTTTGCCAGTTAAACTGGATTAATGTGTCACAAAAGTATGCATATCTAAGTGTGTCACCAACATGCAAAGTTTGCAAAGCTCTGTCTGGGGTCAAAGACCATTGTTTTCTCCAGTGTGAGTCCTTTGATGTCTACGTAGATGTGAACTCGTAGTGTAGCTCTTTCCGCACTCCAGGCATGTATAGGGCTTCTCCCCAGTGTGAGTCCTTTGATGTTTACGTAGAGTTGATAGTACAGTGAAGCTCTTTCCACACTCCAGGCATGTATAGGGTTTCTCCCCAGTGTGAATTCTTTGATGTGAACGTAGACCTGAAGTATCAGTGAAGTTCATTCCGCACTCCAAACATGTATAGGGTTTCTCCCCAGTATGAGTCTTTTGATGTCTACGTAATTGTGAACTCTGAGTGAAACTCTGTTCACACTTGAGGCATGTATAGGGCTTCTCCCCAGTGTGAGTCCTTTGATGTTTACGTAGAGTTGATAGTACAGTGAAGCTCTTTCCACACTCCAGGCATTTATAGGGTTTCTCTCCTGTGTGAGTCCTTTCATGTGAATGTAGACCGCTCATCCAAGTGAAGCTCTGTCCACACTCCAGGCATGTAAAGGGTTTCTCCCCAGTGTGAATCCTTTGATGTTTACGTAGACTTCCACTATGAGTGAAGCTCCTTCCGCACTCCAGGCATTTATGGGGTTTCTCTCCTGTGTGAATCCTTTGATGTGAGCGTAGATCTCCACTGCAAGTGAAGCTATGTCCACACTCTGGGCATGTAAAGGGTTTCTCCCCAGTGTGAGTCCTTTGATGTGAACGTAGAGCTGAACTCTGAGTGAAGGTCTGTCCACAATCCAGGCATGTAAATGGTTTCTCCCCAGTGTGAGTCCTTTGATGTGAACGTAGAGATGAACTCTGAGTGAAGCTCTGTCCACACTCCAGGCATGTATAGGGCTTCTCCCCAGTGTGAGTCCTTTGATGCGAACGTAGACTTTTACTCTCAGTGAAACTCTTTCCACATTCTAGGCACGTATAGGGTTTCTCGCCAGTGTGAGTCCTTTGATGATTATGTCGATTTGCACTCTTAGTGAAACTCTTTCCACATTCTTGGCACGTATAGGGTTTCTCGCCAGTGTGAGTCCTTTGATGATTACGTAGATTTGCACTCGTAGTGAAACTCTTTCCACATTCTTGGCACGTATAGGGTTTCTCGCCAATGTGAGTCTTTTGATGAGAACGTAAACCTGAACTATGAGTGAAGCTCTGTCCACACTCGAGGCATTTATAGGCTTTCTCCCCAGAGTGAGTCCTTTCATGTGAACGTAGATTTGAACTCCGAGTGAAGCCCTCTCCACACTGCAGGCAATTATAGGGTTTCTCCCCAGTGTGAATCCTTTGATGTGAACGTAGATTTGAACTCTGAGTGAAGCTCTGTCCACACTCTGGGCATGTAAAGGGTTTCTCCCCAGTGTGAGTCCTTTGATGAGAACGTAAACCTGAACTATGAGTGAATCTCTGTCCACACTCAAGGCATTTATAGGGTTTCTCCCCAGTGTGAATCCTTTGATGTGAACGTAGAGATGAACTCTGAGTGAAGCTCTGTCCACACTCCAGGCATGTATAGGGTTTCTCCCCAGTGTGAGTCTTTTGATGTGTTTGTAGATTTCCCCTTTGTGTGAAGCTCTGTCCACACTCTGGGCATGTAAAGGGTTTCTCCCCAGTGTGAGTCTTTTGATGTGACCGTAGAACTGAACTCCTAGTGAAGCTCTGTCCACACTCCTGGCATGTATAGGCTTTCTCCCCAGTGTGAGTCCTTTGATGTGTTTGTAGATTTCCCCTTTGAGAGAAGCTCTGTCCACATTCCAGGCATGTAAAGGGTTTCTCCCCAGTGTGAGTCCTTTGATGTGTTTGTAGATTTCCCCTTTGAGTGAATCTCTGTCCACACTCGGGGCATTTAAAGGGTTTCTCCCCAGCGTGAGTCCTTTGATGTGAACGTAGAGCTGAACTCTGAGTGAAGCTCATTCCGCACTCCTGGCATGTAAAGGGTTTCTCCCCAGTACGATTCATTTCATGTTGCTGCAGACGACACCTCCGAGTCAAACACTTCCTACACTCCAGCGATTACGATGCTTTCTCCTTCCTGTCAACAGTGGCATGGGTGTTTGATGGCAATACAGATACTTGACTCTTCCTTTTCTAATTTCTTGTCTGGAAATGGGGGTCAAGAATTCAACAAGATCATCTCCTTGAGAAGATGTCTTCTTCCTGTATCATTGGCGTCCTTACTGCACCCAAGAAGTGGCTCCATAGACTCCTCATTTCCCTGGTCAGGAGAGAAGCAAAACATCAATCATGGAAGCCAGGGACCGTATTTGCCCCCAAAGCCTCCCCCTTTCCCTTCAGGGTCACGTTGAAAACGGAAATAGCAAGGCATGCAGGCACTGGGGTCTCAAGCGCACACACAGACACCAGCAAAGGCAAGCACTGATTCCTTAAAAAGAAGGGAATGAATCTAGAAAGGAGAAAAGAAGGGAGGGAGGGAGGAAGAAGAGAATGAATGAATGAAAGCAGGAAGAAAGGGAAATCATTCCCATGTTGGAGCCTCACATTGAGATCCTTGTGTTGGACACAAACGTGGCTAATGGAACGGAAGCCAGAAAGCAGGCGGAAAGGAGGAGTTCTTTCCTCTATTAAAGGGTGTCATTCGCTCTGGATCCCGGGTTTCCCTGAATTCCCAGGATGTGCTAAATGCAGAGAGACACCCACATTCCTAGGCTGCCTCCCATCCCACCATGGGTCTTGTATTCTGCTTCCTGAGCATCCCAAATTCGACAACGGCTGCCATGAGGCCGGGCTGTAGCACAGCTGCTTCCTCGCAACAGGACAGTGCCGACTGGAAGTTGAGTGGGAAGTTGGGTGACCACAGAAGCTGAGGAAGCAAGAAGCCGTCTTTGCTCCCTTTGCTTCAGGTGAGCCTTGTCTTAGAGTGCATCAGAAATCTGAGTGTGCGCTCGACTCCTGTCGTTTAAGACGAGTTGCTCTGAGTGTTTGTTTTGTTTGGAAGGCGAAGCAACATTCTTCAGCCAGCAGTGATTGACAGGTTCAGGTCAGCCCTTCGTGAGGGATTGTGGCCTGTGCTTTGAAGCTATCTGGAGTGAGGATCTGCTTCCTGTTTATAACCAGAAAATGGTTAAATCAAATAAATTAGATTGTAAATCATTTAAATTAAATAAATACATTAGAGTGGTTTTTTTTGTTTTTGTTTTTTTTTGTCGTGTCAGGAGCAACTGCTCCTGTTGTGAGAGAATTGGCCGTCTGCAAGGACGTTGCCCAGGGGACGCCCGGATGATTTCTGATGTTTTGTCATCCTTGTGGGAGGCTTCTCTCTTGTCCCCGCATGAGGAGCTGGAGCCGATAGAGGGAGCTCATCCGCCTCTCCCGGGATTCGAACCTGCGACCTGTCGGTCTTCAGTCCTGCCAGCACAGGGCTTTAAAGCAGAGGAATCATAGAATCATAGAATCAAAGAGTTGGAAGAGACCTCCTCGGCCATCCAGTCCAACCCCATTCTGCCAAGAAGCAGGAATATTGCATTCAAATCACCCCTGACAGATGGCCATCCAGCCTCTGCTTAAAAGCTTCCAAAAAAGGAGCCTCCACCACACTCTGGGGCAGAGAGTTCCACTGCTGAACGGCTCTCACAGTTAGCAAGTTCTTCCTAACGTTCAGATGGATTCTCCTTTCCTTTGTTGAGCATGAGAACTCAAAAATTCTTGATATTTATTTGTCGTTTCAGGGCAACGAGTCAACTGTATTACATTTCTAACAGAACAAAACAAACAAACAGAGAAAACACAGAGTTTGCAAGCTTGGTAGTTGATTAAATATCCTTTGACCAGTAGCTGGCCCCTTGGAGTGCCTCTGGTGTTGCCGCAAGAAGGTCCTCTATTGTGCATCATGTGGCAGGGCTCAGGGTGCATTGCAGCAGGTGGTCAGTGGTTTGCTCTTCTCCACACTCGCATGTCGTGGATTCCACTTTGTGGCCCCATTTCTTAAGGTTGGCTCTGCATCTTGTGGTGCCAGAGCGCAGTCTGTTCAGCGCCTTCCAAGTCACCCAGTCCTCTTCTGTGTGCCCAGGGGGGGAGTCTCTCATTGGGTATCAGCCATTGGTTGAGGTTCTGGGTTTGAGCCTGCCACTTTTGGACTCTCGCTGCTGGGGTGTTCCAGCGAGTGTCTCTGTAGATCTTAGAAAACTATTTCTTGATTTAAGTCGTTGACGTGCTGGCTGATACCCAAACAGGGGATGAGCTGGAGATGTCTCTGCCTTGGTCCTTTCACTATTGGCTGCTACTTCCCGGTGGATGTCAGGTGGTGCAATACCGGCTAAGCAGTGTAATTTCTCCAGTGGTGTAGGGCGCAGACACCCCGTGATAATGCGGCATGTCTCATTAAGAGCCACATCCACTGTTTTAGTGTGGTGAGATGTGTTCCACACTGGGCATGCATACTCAGCAGCAGAGTAGCACAGCGCAAGGGCAGATGTCTTCACTGGGGTTGTGATCCCCAGGCTGTGCCAGTCAGCTTCCGCTTTTTGTTTGATGTTCAGGCAGTGCTTCTTGTAGGTCAGAGCACGGTCCAGAGTGACTCCCAGGTATTTGGGTGCGCTGCAATGCTCCAGTGGGATTCCTTCCCAGGTGTAATCCTCAGAGCTCGGGATGCTTCTCTGTTCTTGAGATGAAAGGCACATGTCTGTGTTTTAGATGGGTTGGGGATCAGCTAGTTTTCCCTGCAGTAGGCAGTAAGAGCATCTAGAGCAGAGGTCCTCAAACTTTTTAAACGGGGAGGTGGATTACTGTCCCCCAGACCGTTGGAGGGCCGGACTATAGTTTTTAAAAAAAACGATGACCAAATTCCTATGCACACTGCACATGTCCTATTTTGCTACTGTTGTGAATCGTAATGTAAATATCTGATATGTAGGATGTATTTTTATTGTTACAATCTGAATATAAAGCATGGTTTTAGCATTTCTGAAGATAAAATAGTTCCAATTAAAATGAGGAAAAAAATCTATTTTCTGTCTTTTTTAAAGTGGCTTTTGGAATATGTAAGCATGAGTCCCCTTTTGGGGGGAGAAGGGAGGTTATAATTATAGGAAATAAATCTATATTAAAAAATGTAATGTTCGTTTGTGAGATTAACAGAACTCAGAAAGCACTGGACACCTAACAACCCAATGTATGTCCTTCACTCAAAAACAATTGATTTTGTCATTTGGGAGTTTAGTTGCTGGGATTTATAGTTTACCTATAATCAAAGAACATTCTGAACCCCATCAACGATGGAATTGAACCAAACTTGGCACACAGTTCTCCCATGACAAACAGAAAATACTGGAAGGGTTTGGTGGACATCCAGAGATCACTGTGGACTCAAACAATGATGGATCTGGACCAAACTTGGCACAAATACTCAATATGCCCAAATGTGAACCCTGGTGGCATTTGGGGGTTGTATTTGCTGGGATTTATAGTTCACCTGCAATCAAAGAGCATTCTAAACTCCACCAATGGAGGGGGTTGCAGGGGCTTGTTCTCCCGGCGCGGCTGGTAGTGTTGCTGCAAGGAGGTCCTCCATCGTGCATGTGGCAGGGCTCAGGATGAGTCCACAACAAGATGACTCCACAGCAGACACTCTGCTGGCTGTGGTGTTGGATCACATGTGGGACCCTTCCCAAGTGTCTAGGACGGTGTGATGTATTATTGTTGTTGTTGTTGTCACCGGCGCGGCCCTGTTGCAGAGCCCGGGGTCCAGACGCCCCGTCGGGCGGCTTGGAAGCGCTTGGGCGGAAGGGGGCGGGGCCTGGGCTGGCCGGCTGGGACCACGTGAGCGCGGAGGCCCCGCCCCCTCTCCCCTCCCCTCACGCAGGCGCGCCTCCCACATGCGCCTCTGCCGACGTGTCCTTCGGGCAGGCTGCCCCGGACGTCCCTCCCCCTCCACGGTTTAAATGCGCTGGCCTCCCTGGGCAGCGCTGGCCGCGCGGATTGGCTCGATCCCGAGGCCCGGAGAAGGAGAGAGCGGGCGCGGGCTCCGGGGCGCGTGCAGAGTGCCGAGGGGATGGGAGGGATGGCTCTGCAGAAGACCCACCTGGGAGGCCGAAGCAGAGGGTGTCCGCAATGTGCGGAGTGGCGCCGGGTGGGCGTAGCCAGGCCAGGCCAGGCGGGCCACATACGGCCCGCGGGCCGTAGTTTGGGGACTCCTGATCTAGAGGTACGGAAAGCTTCCGTTCTACCATCTCAAAACTCCCTGCTTGAGTGGTGATGGCACGATTATACTCTCATATTGTAGAATGTAATATATTGTATTACACCATTATATTGCCATAGTAATATTACATGTACTATATATATATATATATATATAGGTATATAATAGGGCTGGGCAACCACGGAAAAATTTGTTTCTAAACTCGATTCGTTTTTAGGGGGTTTTTGCTTTTCGATTTTTAAAAGAATTCCGAAATTTTCCTTAAATTTTTTTCGTTATTTACGAAATTTTGTAAATTACAAATCAATTATGAATCGATTTCGAAACAATTATGAATCAATTCGTTAATGGCGGGCGCAATCGCGCAATACACTAAAAAAACCTCCAAATGGGACAGGAAGCTTCCCTCTCCCTCTGTTGTTGACTGTTGGTGTGATAATTTATTTTTTTTTCACTGAGAAAACAAACAGCAACCCTAAAACTTGCACCAGACATGCGGAAATAATAACGAAACGATTTCGAATCAATTACGAATCGATTTCGAAACAATTACGAAACAATTACGAAACGAATTGAAAAAATTCGTTTCGTTTTTTAGTTGCTCCTGAATGGTTCAATATCGCTTCGTTACCAAAAAAAATAACAAATTAATAACGAATTACGAAATTAACAAACGAAACCGCCCAGCCCTATCTATATATATAAATTTGTTAGGGGCATCCAACGAGGAAACAAAACTCAAAAACCCCCCAACGAAACTTAACCAAAATTCCCATGCCCATAACACAACCCACAAGGTACAAACATATCTACTCAAAATGAAAAACAACACAACAACACACTCACAAAACGGCAAAACAACAAAACTCAAAAATCCCCCAACGAAACTTAACCAAAATCCCATGCCCATAACACAACCCACAAGGTACAAACATATCTACTCAAAATGAAAAACAACACAACAACACACAAAACGGCAAAACAACAAAACTCAAAAATCCCCCAACAAAACTTAACCAAAATCCCCGTGCCCATAACACAACCCACAAGGTACAAACATATCTACTCAAAATGAAAAACAACACAACAACACACTCACAAAACGGCAAAACAACAAAACTCAAAAATCCCCCAACGAAACTTAACTAAAATCCCCGTGCCCATAACCC